GACTGTCTTAGAGTTACGCATTTGTATATCGTTTTCTGGCGAGAGAGGGGCCAGTAAAGACAGAGAGCTTGGAGGGAGGGGGATAAAGAGAGGGAGAGACACATAGAGAAAAAGAGCGAGGGAGGGAGAGATATAGCCACGGCCAACACAACTCCCGCAGCGACCGCAACGACGTCCTCACGCAGAACTGCAGTAACGACCGCCGCCACGCCGACGACTGCCACGACCGACGCTTGCCACGACCGAAGACCGCTGCCACGACCCCCAACCACCTCTGCGCACTACGACGACTACGACTACGACCGCGACCGCAGCCACCGCGACCGCCGACCACCGCGAAAACCTTCCGTGCGTCCACGCCCGCCACCGCGACAGTGTGACGTCCGCCCCCCGGTTTCCCCCGTTTTCCCCTCCTCCCCCCTCCGCCCAGCCGCCCCTGCATGTCGCTCGCGCTTTCCCCTCCTCGCCCTCCTGTATTTTCTCCCCCCTCCCAGCCGTCGTCGCCTGTTCGCCCCGTGTCATCCGTGATGGTTTCGCGCGGGGGCCCCGCCGCGAGCCGACCCTGCCCGGGCCTCGTTGGCCCCCCCTGCGCGCGCGGACTCCCCCTGCCCCCCCCCCCCCCGAAAAGAGAGGGAGAGAGAGAGAGAGAGAGAGAGAGAGAGAGAGAGAGAGAGAGAGAGAGAGAGAGAGAGAGAGAGAGAGAGAGAGAGAGAGGAGGAGAGAGAGAGAGAGAGAGAGAGAGAGAGAGAGAGAGAGAGAGAGAGAGAGAGAGAGAGAGAGAGAGAGAGAGAGAGAGAGAGAGAGAGAGAGAGAGAGAGAGAGAGAGAGAGAGAGAGAGAGAGAGAGAGAGAGAGAGAGAGAGACGATGACATGACACTATATGCATACACCTGGGCGATGCAAACCCATTTGGAGGGAGGAAACCCAAGGCCGGTATGTATGAGTCTTCCGTGCAATTATCACACCTGTTATTTCTGCATGTCTGTATACATGATGTGAACTACTTGTTGATGGGATTGAAGACCCCTGGGCATAAGCCCGCTGACATTTTCGACCTGCAAGCCGACGCAAAATCTTCAGCCATGCTGCCAAACGCCAATTCGAAGAATCATCGGGGTAAGCCCCGTGAGATCTTCAACCTGCAGTCTTCAAACAGAGGCCCCACACTCCCAAACAAAAAAAATCACAAGGACAGCGCCCCCGCCGTCGCTCTCGGACTGGGCATCGCTGTCTTCTTCATCGTCGTCATCCGCCGCCTTGAAGCTGCGCCCGTACTTCTCCTGGAAGCGCGCCCTCGCCTCCTCGGCGGTCTCCTCTGGGAGCTCAGCCTCGGCTGGCCGCGCGACGGGCTCCCCGAAGAAGGCGTGGATCATGCACTTCGTCTTTATCGCCTGCGCCTTCGGGCCCTGGAGCAAGTAGTTGTCCTCGCCCGTCGGCAACTCGCGGGCGTTGAATTCCGCAGCCCACTTTTTGCACTTCTCAACGTTCTCATCCTTGCGGACGGCGCCTGTGATGCACTTGCACGACAGATTCGTCCGCGGAAACGTGTTCCCAGGGCAGAAAATCCTGCCGCCCGTCTTCAGCAGCTGGCACAGGCCTGCGGTCTTCATGTGGGGGAGCGATGTGCGGAGGAAGGGTTTGACCTCGGGGTTGTAGTCCGTGCCCTCGAGCGGCGGGAGCGCTAAGTTGCAGTCGGTTCCCTTCCACATGGCGTCGGTGAAGTACCTGCCGAGCTTGCCCTTGGTTTTCACGGTCTTGTGCCGATGCGCCGCGACGTAGTCGAGGCCTTGCTCCTTCGACTCGAGGACCTCGGCCTCGTAGAGGCCATTCAGCTCGCCGCTGCGGGCGAACGTCCCAGGGGTCACCAGCTGCCAGGCGAAGGCGACGGACGCCACGCGCTGATGGAAAGAGTTCATCGTCGCTTCGCCCTCGTGGATGCGAGCCACCGCGAGCAGGTCCTCCTGGGCCTCCCGCAACGTCCTCTTCGCGGTCTCAAAGGTCATGTATTTCTCGAGGCGGCGCTCGTCGAGGTCTTTGCGCGCCTGCTTCGCCTCCCTGCGGTAGGCGCTGCAGGCCTTCACACTGTTCTTCACGGTCGTGGACCTCAACAGCCTCAGAGCTTTCCCTGAGGGGCCCCAGTCCTTCCGATCGCACACGATGACCATGTGGTCGATGCAGTGTTGCAGCGCGGTCATCATCTTGCGCGTCCACGCGAACTCGGCCGCCATGACTTTCTTCTTGACCAGCTCCTCGTTCTCTCAGGAGCGAAATGAGGGCGACGGCGCTGTGGAGGCGGGGAGAGGGGGGAGCTACTACGGCGACGACGACGACGACGACGACGACGTCGACGACGACGACGACGACGACGACGACGACGACGACGACGACGACTACTACTACGACTATTGTTACTACTGCAAACTATACCACTACTATTACTACTACTACTACTACTACTGCTGCTGCTGCTACTACTACTACTACGACTACTACGACTACTACTACTACTACTACTACTACTACTACTACTACTACTACTACTACTACTATTACTTCTACAATTACTACTTCTACTACTGCTACCACTACCACTGCTACTGCTACTGCGACTGATACTACGACTACTACTACTACTACTACTACCACTACTACTACCACTGCTACCACTACTACTACTACTACTACTACTACTACTACTACTCCTACTACTATTACTACTTCTACGAATGCAACTACTCCTACTGCTACTGCGACTACTGCTACTACTACTACTACTACGACGACGACGACTACTACTACTGTTTCTACTCTACTTACTACTATATTACTACTACTACTACTTTACTTACTGCTCGTTACTAGTTACTAGTACTAGTACTACTAGTCTAGTACTACGGCTAACTACTACTACTACTACTACTTCTACGACTACTACTACTACTACGACTACTACTACTACTACTACTACTACTACTACTACTGCTATTACTACTATACTACTACTACTAGCTAGCTAGCTAGCTAGTAGCTAGCTAGCTAGCTAGCTAGCTAGTAGTACTACTTCGACGATGACGACGACGACGGCGACTACTACTACTACTACTACTACTTCTACTACTACTACTGCTGCTACTACTACTACTACTACTACGGCTACGATTACTACTACAACTGCGACTACAGCGACGACTATGCCTACCACTGCTACTGCTGATGCTACTGCTACTACTACTACTACTACCACTACTACTACCACTGCTACCACTACTACTACTACTACTACTACTACTACTACTCCTACTACTATTACTACTTCTACGAATGCAACTACTCCTACTGCTACTGCGACTACTGCTACTACTACTACTACGACGACGACGACTACTACTACTGTTTCTACTACTACTACTACTACTACTACTACTACTACTACTACTGCTAGTACTAGTACTAGTACTAGTACTAGTTACTAGTACTAGTACTAGTACTAGTACTACTACTACGGCCACGACTACTACGACTGATACGACTACTACGACTACTACGACTACTACGACTACGACTACTACTACTACTATACTACTTACTACTTACTACTACTACTACTACTACTACTAGCTAGCTAGTATAGTACTACTTCGACGATGACGACGACGACGGCGACTACTACTACTACTACTACTACTACTACTACTACTGCTGCTACTACTACTACTACTACTACTACTACTACTACTACGGCTACGATTACTACTACAACTGCGACTACAGCGCCGACTATGCCTACCACTGCTACTGCTGATGCTACTGCTACTACTACTACTACTACTACTACTACTACTACTGCTGCTGCTGCTGCGACTACTACAACAACATCTGTACTACTACTACTACTACTACTACTACTACTACTACTACTACTACTACTACTACTACTACTGTTACTTCTACTACTACTACTACTACTACTACTACTACTACTACTACTACTACTACTACTACTACGACTACTACCACTGTTACTGCTACGACAGAAGCAACAACTCTTACCACTGCTATTACTACGGCTACTACGCCTTCGACTACTACTACTGCAGCTACTACCACTACAACCACTGCAGCTACTACGGCTACTACGACCACGACTACGACTGAGGTCACGACTACGACCACGATTACGACTACAACAGCTACTACTACTACTACTACTACTACTGCTACTACTACTACTACTACCACTACTACTACTACCCCTACTATTACTACTGCTGCTGCTACTAATACTACTACTGTGATGGTGCATACTGCCTACTACCTACCCATATACATACTACGTAGTACCTACTACTTCTTACTACTTCACCTTCCTACCTACCTACCTACCTACTACTAGTACGACTAGTACTAGTACTAGTACTAGTAGTAGTAGTAGTACTACTACTACTACTACTACTACTACTACTACTGCGACTACTACTACTGGTACCACTACTACTACTACTACTACTACTACTACTACTACTACTACTACTGCGACTACTACTACTACTACTACTACTGCTACTACTACTGCTACAACTACAACTACTACTACTACTACTACTACTACTACTACTACTACTACTACTACTACTACTACTACTACTACTACTACTACTACTACTACGACTACGACTACTAAAGGACGGCGACGACGACGACGACGACGACGACGACGACGACGACGACGACGACTACTACTACTACTACTACTTCCACCTCCCGCCCTCCCTCCCCCACCGGTTTCCTCGCTCATCCTGACTGCACCCTCGTCCCTCCTCCCGCTGACCTCGTCCCTCCTTTTCTTCCTCCTCCTCCATCCCCCCATTCTCGTCCCACCGTCCTCCTTCTCCCCCCCTCCTCCTTGATATCCGCCGAATCTCTCCTCTGTCACCCCTTCACCCTCCTCCTCCTCCTCCTCATCATCATCATCCTTCTCATGCCCCGCCCCCCCGCCCAACCATGAGGCGTGCGCCATCGGCAGCAACTGCACCGTCGCCACCCTGCGACCGCGCAGCGCGGGGAGTGCAACGACATGGGTGGGGGATCAATGTCGGCAGGTCGTTGGCACTAGAAACAGCACCTGCAGCACCGAGAAGGATAAACAAACAGAGAAGCAATGACATTGCCACATTTCAGTTTGCAGTATGCAGTGTGCACGCGTGTACACATATGTATATATGTATGTATGTATATATACATGTGTATATGTACACACATATGTATATATATACATACAAGTGGCACGTGTGTGCCCAGGCTCATACAAAAAACTGAAGGGGCGTTTGAAGCAGGAGTGAAATGCAACATCGAAGTCGCTCTCGAGCGCAAGTGGGGTTGCCACACCTTGCGATGTGTGTACCATGGCCCCCAGGAAGCCTTAGGAGGCCCGACTTGGATACCAGAAGAGGCTCCAGGAGGCCCCAGGATTGTGAGTGTTGTTCGTGTGTGTGTGTGTGTGTTTGTGATGTATGCTTCGTGTGGTGCGTGTTTTTTGTGTGTTGTAGGTGTTGTGTGTGTGTGTGTGTGTGTTATGTTTGTCTAGCGTGTGATGTGTTGGGCGTGATGTGTGTCTCTGTGTGCATGTAATTCTGAAGCCCCAGGAGGCCCCAGGAGGCCCCAGGCGGCCTCAGGAGGCCCCAGGAGACCCCAGGAGGCTTCAGGAGGCCCCAAGAGGCTCCAGGATGCCGCAGGAGGCCCCAGGAGGCCCCAGGAGGTTGCAGGACACCCCCAGGAGGCTCCGAGGCGGGGTCTGGGGTGCCAGAAGGTTCAGAAGGCCCAGGAGGCCCCAGGAGGTTCCAGGAGGCCACCAGGAGGCTCCGAGGCGGGGTCTGGGGCTCGATTTCGGAAGGATTTTTCAAGCGAAACCGCCATTCCCTGAGAATCGAGGTCACAATTATTGAAATTACCATGTGTTTTTGAAGGTTTTATGTTAACATGTTGAATTTCCCATGTGTTTTTGGACCCTGACGTCGCGATCTGCGTGAGGGGTGCCACCGATTTTCAGAATTTCGAGGATGTCCCGAGCGAAACGCCCAGAAAAATCGCGGACGCGTGCGCATTAATCGCCTCTGAGCTCTACTCCCTCGGAGAGGTGCGTATGATAATATATATATATATATATATATATATATATATATATATATATATATTATATATATATATTATATATATATCATATATATTCATTTGTATATATATATATATATTATACATACACAAGAGTGCAAGAGAAACGCGCGCAAACATAAACATAAATGTAGAGAGAGAGAGAGAGAGAGAAACAAAAAAAAAATGATGTAGACACATACGCACGCATCTATGTATGTAGCTATATCTGTTTACGTATATACATGGAGCGAGAGAGAGAGAGAGAGAGAGAAAGAGAGAGAGAGAGAGAAAACGAGAAAGAGAGAGGGACAAACCAACAAGACAGTGATATACATAAAAAGAGAGAGAGAGAGAGAGAGAGAGAGAGAGAGAGAGAGAGAGAGAGAGAGAGAAGAGAGAGAAAGAGAGATAAACGCATACATATATATATATATACATAGAGAGAGAAAGAAAAACGGGAGAGAGAGAGAGAGAAGGAGAGAGAGAGAGAGAGAGAAAGAAAAACGAGAGAGAGAGAGAGAGAGAAGGAGGGCGGGGGGGAAGAGGGAGGGCAGGGAAGGTAGTGAGAAAACGCTACACGTACACACGTACATACATACTCGTACATACTTTTTCTTGCATATCATGCAAACACATATACATATACACCCATTAGAAATACAGAGAGAGAGGGAAAGAGAGACTGAGAAAACGAGAGAGAGAGAGAGGGAGATCGGAGGTTGGGGGGTGAGATCGCAGCGGGACGAAGACCCGCAACCGGGAAATCGTTTCGTTTCGTTCGTGTCGTGCGTGCGGGCGAGGCGAAGCTGCGTGGGCGCGCGAGAGGAATGAACCCGCCGTTGCTAGGGCGAAGTCAAGACAAATGATTCTCCCCCTCCCGCCCGTCTGGCGGTGGCTCGTGGTGTCCCGCCATGTCCCGTGGAGTCCGCCGTTGCCAAGGCGAAGTCAAGACAAATGATTCTCCCCCGCCCGCCCGTCCGTCCGTCCGTCCGGCGGTGGCTCGCGGTGTCCCGCGGTGTCCCGCGGTGTCCCGTGGTGTCCCGTGGAATGGGATCGATCGTGAAATCGATAGTGAGATCGATGTGGTGCCCCGAAATGTCCCGTGGTGTCCCAAAAAGTGAAATCGATAGTGAAATCGATAGTGAGATCGACAGGTGTCCCGTGGTGTCCCGTTGGGTGAGATCGATCGTGAGATCGATAGTGAGATCGATGTGGTGCCCCGAGGTTTCCCGTGGTGTCCCAAAAAGTGAAATCGATAGTGAGATCGATAATAAGATCGACAGGTGTCCCGTGGTGTCCCGTTGAGTGAGATCAATTGTGAGATCGATTGAGTCAGATGTTGGTTCACCCCCCTCTCCCCCCACACAACCTCCTTGTCACCCGAAGGGTAGTCGTATAGGTATGGAGAGAGGACTTGAAGGCAAGAGGCGAGGAAGGGTACGAGGGGAGGGAGGCAAACAAGCAAGTCCTCCAGTATCGACCCTCCCACCCATCTCAGACCCGTCTGGGACGCTCTGCGCCCAAGGGCTGAGGTGTTGAGATGGCCCCAGGCTGCTCGAAGAGGCCTGCGGAGGCCAGTTGGGACTGATGCGAGTCCAAGAATTCCAGAAAAAAAAATCTAGTTCCAAGAGTCTAAAGGGGCCCCAAACACACAAATAAATGAACACAAATCCCAGGATTCACTGTATTTTCCAAAATGTTCGTCTTCCCCCCTTTCACACGTTTTCCTAACATGTTCCCGGGAGTCGACGATTGATTGTATCTGTGTGTTTTCTCCCCTCCTGAGAATCATACATGTTTGAATGGTTCAAAACCGCCAGAGGGACGCGTCTCTTGACGCCACGCAAATCACAGTAGGCAGCAACGCCTCAAACGCCGGCTGCGGGTCACAGTGCCGAGGGGGGAACAATGATGAATCTTTCGCCGCCAGGAGCGCTGTTACCCCCCTGAGAAGAGGACGGAGTGGGGGAGGGTGGTCCTCCCTCTGTAGCTCCGGGGCTAACACTACCTGGGGGGCTGTCTGCGCGCAACCCAAAGTCTGACCAGCTTTAACACAGTAGCTCTGCCCCTATGAGCATCCGCAGGCTCTTCTGCGTCTCTTGCTCTGTCCTGCTGCCGCCCGTATTCCAGGCAGGTGCTGTGGCATACCAGGCTTGGTTTTTCTTCATCTGGCTACGTCATCGCCTGCGTCGGTTCTCGTCCTTTCCTCTCAGTGGCCGTCACGCTGGCGCTGCGGTTCATCAAACGGAGTCTGCGCAACGAAAAGGGAGCCGGGAGGGGGATCGGGGGGTGAGGGCCCCCTCGCGCTGTGAAAAGATCATGGAAGACAAGTTGTTGTCACCGTTTGCGGGATCTGGGGACCCTCAAGGGGCCCCAGGACTGTCAATACACGGCCCGGGGCGACATACCGATCCTGGGGAAGTGGTCCAGACCTCCAGGGGCCAAAACATCAAGACGTCGTGAATGGGAGTGGGGAGGCGGCGATAGAGGCGGATGGAGCGTCAGGAAGGAGGGACGGAGGATGGGGACCGGGGAGTGCTTGAGGGGAGTGGATCGAACAACTGCCAGGAGGGACCGCGGCAACAACGGGCGTGAGAATCGTCCGTGCCGGGGGTGAGGAGGATGATTGTCGCGCTGTCTAGTGAGAGCTGGGACCGGGCACGAGACACAAAGCCGTGACTCGGAGAAAGATCGGGGCAGTATTTCCCAAGGGCAACCAACGGCCGCAACAGAACGCTTCTGCGCTTGCCGCCTATTTCCGCACGTAGACCCGGATGCGCTCGTCCACTCTGGGCCACGGGGAGTCGGTGTGCCACATGGCTGCCAGCTCCCAGTCCCGCCGCAGCAGATCCCGGAACGCGTCGGTGCCAGTCCACTCCTCGTCGCCCAGCACCACGAGGACCCTGCCGCGGAAGCCGCGCAGGAGCTCCTCCCCGAGCGCGTTCCAATGGGGCAGCCACGAGAGCAGCAGCGCCCAACCGTCCCCATACCTCGGCCACCGGGGGTCTCCAGATGGTGTCTCTGGAGGCCTCTAGAGGTACCTCCAGAGGCCCCTGGGAGGTCTTCAGCACACGCACGCACATGCGATGAGACATCTCGCTATGAGAAATACTGGGGAACATGATTCGTCGATCTGTGCGGGTCCTAGGGTGCCCCAGAGCTTCTGCGGGTAATTATCTGGGGCTATCGGGGGATAAGAAATTTCTGTGGGGCACCAGCTTGCAGGCCGATTCCTTCCTTGCTGTGGCGACTTTGTGCCCATGTCCACTGAACGGCACCCCATGGGGGGCTTCAAAGGTCCCCGAAGGCCTCTGGAGGCCCCAGAAAACGAAACAAGTCCGAAAACCTTGACCGTCGTTGAGGAGGGGAAGGAGTAGGAGGACATGCCGACCAAATGACTCCGCCCACAACACGGGGGGCCACGAGGCGAAAGCGGCGATTCCATGTTGAGCAGGGACTGACCGTCCCCGGCATTCCTACCACGAAATGTCCTTAGAACCCAGAAAACGTTCTAAGAGCAAAAACAATGCTCTTAGAACATAACCCGACGTATCAAAACAGAACGTACTCGGCCAAAAATGTTCTTAGCACATTTCGTGCAGACCACCAACAAAAGTTTTTAGAGCAGTCTTTGGTGGGCCTAGAGGCCAGCCCGGACACTTCGCCACTGCTTGACAATCGTTTACCAGCGCTCTTCATCGCTCAGAGGGAACCCTGCGCGCGGGTGACACTTGGCCTTGAGATTTCCCCCGACGCATCGCCCAGAAAGAGAAGGACGACGGCGAAGACGACGACCAGGGAAGAAGGGAGAGGAGGAGGTGGATGAGATGGAGGAGGAGGAGGAGGAGGAGGAGGAGGAGGAGGAGGAGGAGGAGGAGGAGGAGGAGGAGGAGGAGGAGGAGCAGAGGAGGGAGGAGGAGGAGGAGAGAGGAGGAGGAGGAAGACGAGGCCCTCCGCCGGCCACCGCACACAGAACAGCCAGGGGTGCCCTCCCCAGGAGGCATACGAGCATCCAGCAAGCACGAAGAACATTAGGGTACCCTCCCTGGACCGGCTTCGATCCTATACCCCACTCAATCATTTTGGGGGGTCCGGGGGGGGGCGATCTTTTTAATCGTTTCCCCCTATTGGAACAGCCAAGGGTGCCCTCCCCAGGATGCACACGAGCATCCAGCAAGCACGATGAAGGTGCCCTCCCCGGACCGGCTTCGGTCTTCTACCTGGGTCCGGCTGTGTGCACGAGGGCAGGGGCCGTGGCCGGGCTCATCTCAGCGGTGCCAAGAAGCCCGACTCCAGCAGGGCAGCGCGTGGACACGTCTGGCCCGACTCCGAAGGAGCGCGCCCTCGCATCGTCGCTGGTTCGACCGAAAGGCGGAAGGGGTGCCTATGCTCGCCCCGAAACTCCCCACCCCTGCCCAGGGGGCTAGTTTTTCGTTCCAGATCCTATACAGTTTTATCTGAGAACGGGCCCGGGAAGCCGGCATCGAGAAAAAGCGCAGATCGTCGATCTGGCGGGAAGAAGGAGGCGGGATCCGACGTCGCGAAAGACACAATCGAGGGAAATCACGACCCGAGCCCTAGCCCTATCTTTCCGCAATGCTTCTCGAACCGGATTGATCTGCGAGGGCCTTGGGGCTCGATCGTTGGTCGAAAACGCCAGGAGTGAAACAATTGCAATGCTCGGATCTCGCGCGCCCCAGAGGTCCCGACCCATTCACTGGGGGTAGTTTTTCGTCCCAGATCTGTGTTTGATGATCCAGGCACCCGAGATCTTTTTTTGATGAGGCCGCAATCGAGGAACACGCCAGGATCGAACAACGCATCTCGCCAGATATCTGGGCGAGTTGGAGGTGCACTGAGATCCGACGTCGGAAAACATGGCAACGTCGTGGATAATGCCGACCCGAAGAGAATATCGCGAAAACAACTGGAGGAGGTGGTAGGACAATTTGCAATTGACATCGCAGAAGTCGACCCGAGATGGACATCGTACAACACTGCGAAACAAATCAACGTCGGGAGGAGGAGGTGGATGTGGATGAGGTGGAGGTGAAGGAGGCGGAGGGGCGGAGGTGGCGGAGGTGGAGGTGGTGTGGGGGGAGGTGGTGAGGAGGTGAAGGTGGACGAGGTGGAGGAGGTGGAGGAGGACCCCGATATCCGGCGACATGAACTTGTCGATCCGCGGCGCCAGAGGCCCCGACCGCTTCCCCGGGAGCACTCCTCCGTCCCAGTTCCTGGTGGCCGCGGGGCCCGAAAGCGGCCCCCGAGGGCCGACATCGGGGAAGAACGTCGGCGGAACAGAGCATAACGTCGGAGATCTGGAGAGGGTGTCCCTGTCGAGGATCTGATGCGGCGATAGCTACGATCAACGTCGGTGTGATGTTGAGAAGTGATGGAGCAGGTGGAGGTGGAGGAGGTGGAGGTGGCGGAGGAGGTGGTCGAGGTGGAGGAGGTGGAGATGGAGGAAGTGGAGGAGGTGGATGAGGAGGAAGAGGCGGACCCAGAAATCGGGTGTGTTGATTCCTTTCCGCACGATGTCCCCAGAAATCCTGACCCTTTCACCTAGGCCGGTTTTTCGTCCCGGGTGTTTTTTTGACGGCCCCGGTGCACGGCGAGGGCCCCCGGAGGCCGAAGACGCCCAACCCCCCCCATCGTGACTGGAGAAAACTGCGACATCGCCAAACACACTGGATCGACGCCCTGGATCCTACCAGTATGCTGGATTTCTAGAGCTGGATGGATCTCTGAGGGTCCCAGTGCCCGAAACCCGGGGAAAGCGCCTGGTGTGAACAAGTTGCAACGCCAGGATCTCATGGACGGCGCGAGCATGTCTGGGGAGGGAGTTGTGGGGGGGGGGGGATGAGATGAAGGAGGTGGGTATGGATGATGAGGTGGAGGTGGAGAAGCTGAATGTGGACGAGGTGGAGGAGGTGGTGGTGCCTGTGCCGCTCGGTGCCTGTAGGCGATGGCGGGGGAGGCGGTGGAGGTGGTGCAGGAGGTGGATGAGATGGAGGTGGAGGAGGAGGAGGTGCAGGAGAAGGTGGTGGAAGCATAAGTGGAGGAGGTGGAGGAGGGGGAGGAGGCGGAAGAGGAGGCGGAAGAGGAGGCGGAGGAGGAGGAGGAGGAAGAGGAGGAGGAGGAGGAGGAGGAAGAGGAAGAGGAGGAGGAGGAGGAGGAGGAGAGGAGGAGGAGGAGGAGGACGGGAGGAGGAGGAGGAGGAGGAGGAGGAGGAGGTGGAGGTGGACGAGGTGGGGGAGGCGGAGGTCGAGGTGGAGGACGGGATGGAAGAGGATGAGATGGAGGTGGGGCTGTGGTGGTGGCAGGACGAGGAGGACGAGGTGGAGGAGGCGGTGCCTCTGCCACTCGGTGCTCGCCCCCGGGCGTTCCGCCACGTGCCACCAGCACGCCGCCGCCGGGCTCGCGTCCGCGGCCTCCACGCGCAGCCCCGCGGCGGCGAGGCGCGCCGCGTGGAGGCCCGTGTGCGCCAGCGGGTCCAGCACGGAGCCGATGCCCAGCTCGCCGAGCAGCGACCTCCGAAGCGCTCGGGAGCTTCCGGGAGCTCGGACGGTCTTCGGAAGCTGCTTCCTGGAAGCTGCCTCGCCTCGGGATGCTGCTTCCTGGATGCTTCCCTGCGTCGCGACAAATTTCCTGCCTGCTTCCTGGAAGCTTCCTGGAAGCTGCTTCCTGGATGCTTCCCTGCGTCGCGACAAATCACTCTTTCTATTATTTCTCTTGGTCTCCTTTACTTTCGGCCTCCGAGGGCCGAAAAAGGTCCCAGGGAGCGGGTCGAGACCTCTGGGGGTCGACGCTGCGAAAAAATCACGGCGTCGGGTGTCTGCTTTTCGCCAGTTCTCGGACGGTTGTGGAATTTTCGGACGTCTCAGGAAATTCTCGTGTTCTCCTGGAAATTGTCTCGCCTCAGGATGCTTCCCCGCAGCTGCGCCTCGCCGAGGGCGTTCCAGAAGCGCCCCGAACGTCCCGAACGGCCGCCCGGGGACCGAGCTGGAAGCCCACTCCTCCGACGGTGTGATGTGTGCTGAATCCAGCGTGGTTCCTCAGATTCTGGCCTCTGGGAGCCGTTCTCGGGCCCCGGGGCCATCAGAAATGAATCTGGGGCAAGAAGCTGTCGCTGGGGAAGGGGTCGGGACCACTGGGGGCGCGCATTGGGAAGATCCTGTCGGCGGATGTCTGGGCCCTTGGCGTCGCCCACAACCTAGACCTCCTCGCGCTGGAAAGAAAATCACGGCGGAAAGCTGTCGCCCGTTTCTGGCCTCCCGGGGCCCTCACTGGGCCCAGACGGCTCGCGGAATGAAAAACAGGTCCCGAGAAAGGGGTCCGACCAAATCTGTGAGTCCACGCTCCCAGACCCCCGACGCGCCGCGATCGCGCGAACCCCCGGGAATCTCGACCCGTTTCCCGAGACCGGCCCCCGAGGTGTTCTTTGACCGCCAACGGGGCCCGGCGAGGGCCCTCCGACGCCGAGACTAGCAGAAGACCTCCCGTCTTGATCAAGCACGGAATTATCAAACAGTAACACCAACACAGCATCAACACCTCAAAACCCTCCAGAAACCTCACACGAGGGGGTCTGGGCTGTGAAAGGAGCACGACGTCGGAGTGCCGGCAAGGGCGTGGCGCGAGGGGGGGCGGCCTTCCCAGTGGCCCGGGCGGGGGGCTGCTCTCTTCGAGGCCTCCCTGAGGGGGTCCGAGCAGCTGTCCTCGGAGGACTGCGCCGCACCGCCGATGCACCGCCGAGGCGCCGGCGATGCGCCGGCGCTGCACGCGCGAGGTCGGCGTCGCATCGACGGCGCCAGCGCGGAGAAAAAACGGGCCCCACCTTGGAGGCCTAGATGGGGGGGCCATCCTCGTCGACGTCGTCGTCGTCGTCGTTGTTGCCTCGTTGTCGTCGTCGTCGTCGTCGTCGTCGTCGTTGTTGCCTCGTTGTCGTAGTTGTCGTCGTCGTCGTCGTCGTCTTCGTCGTCGTCGTCGTCGTGTCCTCGTCCTCGTCCTCGTCCTCGTCCTCGTCCTCGTCCTCGTCCTCGTCCTCGTCCTCGTCGTCGTCGTCGTCGTCGTCGTCGTCGTCGTCGTCGTCGTCGTCGTCGTTGTCGTCGTCGTCGTCGTCTGTCGCACGGTCCGGTGCAAGGAACCCCCTTCTGCACGAACGGAAGCGGCGCGCGTGCCCATGCCGCAGTCTCCGGTTCTCAGAAGGCAGAAGGCTCTGCCTGCCTCCCTCCCTCCCTCCTTGCCTCCCTACCTTCTCCTCCTCCTGGCGCTGGCGCTGACGGGATTGGGTCCGTTCGCCAGAGCTGTCTCCCCTCCTCCTCCTCCTCCTCCTCCTCCTCCTCCTCCTGCTCCTCCTCTCCTCCCCTCCCTCCTCCTCCTCCTCCTCCTCCTCCTCCTCCTCCTCCCCCTCCTCCTCCTCCCCCTCCTCCTCCTCCTCCCCCTCCTCCCCCTCCTTCCCCTCCTCCTCTTCCCCTGATTTCTCTCCTTCACTTCTCCTCTCCTCTCCCCTGTCTCTCCTGTGCGAGAGCCCTCGACGGCATCGTCGCAGTCGTCCCAGCCTCCTCCTGGAAGTCTCCGGGCCCCTCTGCGAAGGCCCCCGCCTCCTCAGAAGCTCCCGCGCCTTCTCAGAACCCAAAGATCCGATGTCGTGATCTTTTCAATGCGGGGTCCCCAGACGTCTCGACCCGTTCCCCAGGACCGGCTTGACGCCCCGAGTCGATTTTTGACGCTCCCGAGGCCCGGCGAGGGCCTCTGGAGGCCGAAAGCGGCGAAAAACCTCGGTCTTGATTTCTTCCATGCGCTGCGGATCTCCGGGAAGCCGGCCGCCCCCTCCCCCTCCGGGCGCCGCCCCCTCGTGCGCGGGCGCCGCCGACCTCAGCCGCCGCACGTGCTCGCTGCGCAGGGTGCCGTGGCCGTAGTCCTGGCCCCGGGCCCTCCGGCGCGAACCCGGGGAAGCCCCGAGGCCGGCCTCTGCCGCCATCGGGCCGCTCCCTCAAGACCCCCATCGCGTAGGGACGAAGCCCTGAGATCCGACGCTCCGAGAGAAATCGGAGCGCCTCCCGAGGTCCGGCCAGGGCCCCCAGGGCCCTCTTCGGCCTCTGGGGGCCCTCGCCGGACCTCGGGAGCGTCACAGAACGACTCGGGATGAAAAGCCGGCCCTGGGGAAGTGGTCCGGATCTCTGGGGCCCACGCATCGAAAAAATTGGAGCAGTCGGACGTCAAGGAAAATCACGACGGGAGGTCTTCTGCGAGTTTCGCTCTTTCCGGGTGCCCTTGCCTGGAGGCCATCACCATACGACGCAGGATGGAAGACCTGTACCCGTGGTCGTTCGTTGACGGTCCCGGGGCCCTGCGAGGGCCCCCAGCTGGCAAAAACCTCCCGACGCGATTTTCTACAATGCAAGGCGCAAAGGCTTTCGGGCCATAATTCGGGCCTCGGGCGTCCCATCGGGACGATCCGGGCAACCCCCGGAACGCCCTCGACGAGGCGCAGCTGCTGGAACGCATCGCGGCGCCAGAAACCTGCTGAGAACGCGAGGCCCAGACCTCTGAGGGTCCACGCCACAAGAATGCACGGTGCCGGGGAGAGCATGCGACGCATGTAATGAAACCAACGACAAAAACACGAACCGATTGGCCACGGTGAGGCGGCTACATGACGCCCACCCCTCGAGGACCGCTATGATGCGAATCCGGCCCCGACCCGTGTTCAAGAAGAGACAGAACTCGCACCGTCGGGCGCCTGGGCCCTAGGCCCTGGGCTTTGGACGGTCTTGAGGCTCCTCCTGGCCTGGCCGGGGCCTCTCGGGGGCCGGCTTCGGGCCCTGATATGGGGCCGCCAACAGGAAGAGCGCTCGGACCCGGGCAGCGCGTCCGCAACCGTGCGCTTCAGCACGCGCCTCTCGGCGGCGGCGCGCGCCGTGGGGTGGCAAGCGCCGGGCGGCCTTCAAACAAAACAGGGCAAGGGCAGGAGGCGTCGGAGAACAGGCGCGGGAGGCCTCGGGGACGCCGAAACCGACGCCGAAAGCGAGGAAACGGCGAGGAGGTTTCTCATCCCGGGCCGTTCTTTGACGGCCCCGAGGCCCGGTGAGGGCCCCGGGGGGCCGACGGGGACCCCCCCCCGTCGTGATGGTTGTTATGACTCGAGGAGGTCTGGGCACGTCGAACACGACGACGTGAGCCTGCGTCCCGATGCCTCTCGAGGCGCGGGGGGGCCCCACCTGGCTGCTCCCATTTTTTCGATGCCTCAGGCCCCTCGAGGTCCGGACCACTTCTCCAGGACCGGTGTTTCGCCCCGACTCGTTTCCTGCCACCCCCGAGGCCCGGCGAGGGCCCCCGGAGGCCGAAACCTGTTTCTGAAGACCGCCCGCTCCCATTCTGTTGGAGCGTCGGATCTCAGGGAGGCCGCGGGTCCTCGGCCAGCCGGTGCAGCAGCAGCTCCGCGCGCGCCGCGGGCAGCCCGGCGGCGCGCACCTCGTCCCACAGGTGCTCCAGCAGCGCGGCCAGCGCGCCGGCATGCTCGCGGGCCTCGCGGACGCGGGCGAGGTCCTGGAGCAGCAGCTGGGCGGCGGCCAGCCTGGCCGGGACCTCCTCCCCGACCGGCCACGGCCGAGGGGGGTTCTCCAAAAGGGGGCCTCTGGGGAGGGGTTCGCCAGAGAGCCCCCCAGGGGCCTCGGAGCCTCGCCAACACAGGGGGTAAGAGGCCCCCAGGGGGGCCCCTCCTGGAGAACCCCCTCCCCAAAAAAGCCCCCTTTGGAACCCTCCGGGCTGAGGGGGGACTCGGCTCTGCTCCCGGGCCCCCGGGCGACGCGACTCTGCGCCATTCCCGCAATGCGCTTCCTCGCTCCCGGCCGCCGCGGCGCGATCTGCCTCAGTCCGGGCCTCTTGCTCCTCGACCTCGGCCTCCAGGTCTCTGGCGATGTGCTCTGCAACAGTGCAGGCGTGTGCTCCTCGAGTTCTGCCCCCCTGCGGGCTGTGCTCCCACATCTCCGGCGACGCGACGTGTGTCAATCCAAGCATTCGTCCTTGCTTTCGGCCTCCCAGGGGCCCGCTCGAGCCCCAGGGTCATCCCGGGACCATCAGACATGGATCCGCATGGCGAAAACCTGGTCACAGGGAAAGCGTCACCTTCATGGGGCCGGGCACTGAACAAAAAACACATCGCCGGATGTCTGGGTTCCTGACGGCTGGGATCGATTGCAAATGATACCAGCGATGGCACGAGTCTCTTCCGACCAGGCGACCCGCTCTCCAGCCGTGAATATAGGGCATGGAACGCGAGCACGTACCCTTGACAGCTCCAGCGCTGTGATCTTGTTCACTGCGTGGACCCCCCGAAACCTGAACCCCTTTTCCGGGGCCCTTGCTCTTCGTCCCGAATCGTTTGTCTACGGCCCTGGGGCCCAAAGAGGCCCCCCAGAAGCCGCGAATTGCCCCAGCTCCATCACAATGACTTTTCCCTGCGATCGCTCGGACGTCCATTCCCTGAGCATTTATCGCTTGCTTGTTTTTGCCAAATGATCCAGGATGCTCCCCGATGGTCTTCGCCGAAAGCAAAATGCACACGTCCGAACGATGCCAAGTTTCGCGACGCCAGGAGGCCTGGGGGTTCCATGGATCCCCGCGAGCCCTCGGCAGCGGGGGCCGAGGCCCCCCCCGGGGGGGAGGGCCCCACAGCTCCCCTCTCAGCGCCCAGCGAGCGCGCCCCGAGCCCCCTCCGCGCCCAGCGGGCGCGCCCGAGCGCCCCCTCGGGCGCCCCCCCCCCCCCCCCCCCCCCCCGCGCCCTCGAGCCGAGGTCGCCCCCCCGGCGCACGAGCCGAGCGCGCCCCCCCCAGCTGCGGCCGGTCGCTCCTCCGCTCTCGCGGCGCCGCTGGGCGGCGCCGCGCGGGCGGCGCCGCGGCCGCGGCGGCGGCCGCGGCCGCCGCGCCGGCCGGCAGCCGACGGGCCAGCAGCGCCGCCGGGGCCGCCATCGAGGGCGCCGGCCGCCCGCGCTCGGCGCCCGATGGCCCCTCGCCCTGGAGCAGCTTGGGCGCGAGGTCGGCGCCGCGACCCCGTGCCCGAGGCCGCCGCACAGAGACGCGCCGCCACTGGCAAGGAGCTGTGGCCGGCGACGGCGAGGATGCAGCAGGCCCTGGCAAGGTGCAGCCCCGGCCACGGGAGGGAGGAGCGGAAGGGGGAGGAGGACGCAATGGAGCACGACGGTGGGGTGGAGGTTGGGTGGGTCACGTTGGGGCGGGCGGTCCCACGAAGGATGTCAGATTTGCACGTCTGCGGGCCTCCCTGTCCCATGTGCACCCGCGTGGGCAGCGTAGCCTCACTGCAAAACCATGTCGTGCACGACGCACTCTTGGTCCTGCTCGCGAGCTCTCGTTTGACTGCTGTCCGTGCTTTGCCTGGTTTGCTGCATGCTCTTGCACTTCTCCGGTCAAGGCAATTCGCCTGGGCATCGTTGCTGGATGGGCTGGTGGGGATTTTTTGTCGCAGCCGCAGGCGAGGGCGCCAGCGGCGAATGTGGTCCGAGCGGGCCGCGCAAGAGCCGAATTGCCTAACGCCGACGGGCCGGCGACCTCAGCAGCGCCTCGGCGGGCGGGCCGGCGTGAGGGGGGGGGGGTACGGGCTGCAGCTGCCAGGGACCAGGTCCAGGAGCGCGCACATGCACGATTAACCAACCAGGGTGGCTGGTGGGGATCCGCGAAGCGTCAAGAGTATGAGTATGCATCAGTCAAGGAAGCCAGGTCGGACAAGCCACAGGGCCCCGCCCATTGCCCCCCCCCCAGTCATAGCATAAGACACAGTGGTGGCACAACTTGACGTTGGCAGTGGAACGCTGTTTCCACCTGGGCTACGACAAGAAACGGCCCTCACGCGAGATGACATAGCGACCTGACGCGGCGCCTTGCGCGTGCCGCCAGCGTGGCACGCTGCACTGGGAACGAGTGCGCTTACGCGCGACCTTACGCGGGCAACTTGCGCGCCAATGTCGGCGAAGACGAGCCCCCCCGTTTGTCTGCGTCGCCCACCCGAAGAACGGATAGCGCTGGTGCGCGGTCCAGCTTCCTTCGATTTGGCCAGGGACGGGAAAACAAAACCGCGGGCCTCGCACGGGCGCGGCGTTGCGGCGAGAACGCCATGTAGTCCTCGTTCTGCCGGCCTCCTGTCCGATGGGGGCGGCAGGGACGAGGCAGGAGCCACGCCGAAACAGCATCGCCACTCTCACGCGCAGAAGGCGCGGTGCTTCGGCGAGGACAGCCTCTCGCCCGCTCTCGCGCGGCCCCGCTGCCGCTGCCGCGTTCCCGCGACTCGGCGACCGCAGTCGGCGGCGAGCGATGGGGGGAAGTGAGAAGGAGAAGGCCTTCTCGGAAGGCGGCGGGACTTCTCAGAAACCCCCCGCGCCTTCTGAGAAGTTCTTTGTGTCTTCGGGGAAGGCTTAGACCTCTCCTCAGAAGGCCAGGGCACTTCCGAGCCTTCTGAGAAGGCTGGCCTCCTCTCACTTCCCCCCCCCGCGCTCGCCGCCAAGACGTTGCTTCTTCTACTCCCGCCTCCCTCTGCCTCCACGGCCGCCTGGGCTCAAGAGGCCCGCCCGAGCCTCGAGTTCTGACCCCTTGGCCCCCCCCGACGCCTCGCTCGCCACCGACCAACGACGTGCGCCGCGCCCGAGCGGGAACGCAGCTCTCCGGCGGCCTCTGCACGCACAGCGCTGGCGAGGGAGACAAGAGTCCGCCCGCTCGCGCGCGGCCCCGCCCCCCCCCCCCAACGGCCTGGCGAGCGATGCGCGTGCGCCGCGCCGAAGCGGGAACGCGCCCCTTTCGGGCGAAATCTGCGCGGCGCCGAAGCGGGAGCGACACATT